GCTATGTATGTATACCGATTTAGGAATAATTATTTATTATGTAACAAGAAGCATCAGGAAAATATGTTTTTTGGTTATATTTATTGTATACATGTCATCAGTTAGAATTCTTATCTTCATTCTTTCTAGATTCTATTTTTCTAATTCATCAGTCAAAGCTCTTTTTCATCGTGAAGTTCAGGAAAAAGTATTTATATCAATTAATAGAACGATAAAAATATTCTTGTCAGAGTTGAAAGACCGACTGTGCCAATATATACGTCACGGCTCACTGCTCTTCCTCTCTCTATTGTTCTCTCTGTATCGTCTCTGTCTTTGTTTCTCTATCATATATAAGTTTGTGTTGAATGTGCAATAGACATATTCTGGAGATGTGAAGTAGCTAATAAACATCATTGTCGAGTAGCGGCTAGCTACTCGTTCAGTCTGTCATAACATCTCTTTCTCATTTTTTTCGTTACATCGACAATTATCGATTGTTTCTTATATCTCTATACGAATCATTTACACGTACTTTTTCGCTCATTTCTGAAATGCATATTTTATCGTTTACATGCTATATAAACAAGGTAAGTTAACATTTAATAAATGATTTTGTTTTTCCGCTTTATGTTTTTATAAACTACTTGATGAACATTCCATGAAAATGTTTTTTAATTCTGTTTCTTTTTGTTTATGAGTACTTTCACTTTTTCGTTGTATTATTGAGCACTTCTTTTTTTTCCCATATTTTTAATTCTTGTAAAATTTCGACAGTAAAATAGCAGGAAAAATGAGACTACAACAGATCCATACTAATCATGAAAATAAAACTCAGAAATCAAGCTAGATTATTCAAGATATTGCTCTATTCTAAGATAAAAAGGAATCGAATCTTATTTTCAAAAAATACAAAATTCTTTTCAGATGAGAGAGATCTTGCATAGCCATTCAAGATTCTGTCTACCAGATTCTTGCCTGATTTTCAGGATCTTGTTTTTCTCACAAGGAAACTCCACCAACTGATTAGAACCTTTTGAGCTCATATTCTGACCATAATTAGGACTTGGTGGGACTAGAAGAACTCCAAAAGGATTTGACCCAATGAATCTCTTTAGTTGAGTTACGAACGTCTTAAGTTTAAGTTCAAAAGCATAGATAAACTACTTATAATGTATGCATTATAACATTGTTATATTTTTGTAGAAGACTCCCTTTATTCTTTTGTTTATAGTCGTTCTAACGTGAGTTGCGACTACAAATGAAACAAACAAAAATCACATCAGTTAAATGAAAATGAAAGATATATTATGAATGAGAAGACATGCAAACAAAACAGTAGATATGAATAATTGAGGAATCGATTGATGGTCTTTGAAGCATTTATCTGAAAAAATCCCATTGGATTAAAGTACTGATACTTCACATGCCTCTTTTCTATAGCACTTACACCCCATCAGACAACACACAACAACATGATTTTTTTTTACGATAGTTTGGCGTTTTATCTATGAGTATTTCAAAAAGAAAATTTTCTTTTGAAATGTTACAGTATTGTAATTCAAGAACAAGAAGCAATTTATATATATTCCTGGTTCAAAACTTGAAATGTCCCTATCTCAACCAAATACACCTATGGGGACAAATTCTTTTGAAGTCTCTCTAGTCCCACTAAGTCCTACTTATGACCAGAATATGAGCCCAAAATCTTTCAATCAATTGATGGGATTCTCACGTCAGAGAAGAATCATATGTTCAACACATAGAAAAAGAATCTTGTCTCATGTCTCTGCAAAATAAATCTGAAAAGAATAGAAGCAAGAGTATTTGATTTGTATTGTGAAATGTAACTGTGAAAATGCTTTTTAGCAAGAAACAGTGTAGCACCATCAGCAATGTGTTATATGTTAATTTCAAATATTCCTATATTATATGTTGCATGAATAGTTTTTGAAAGAAAACAATTACAAACAAATAGGTTTTATCACTAAAATCGATAATGATAAATCTTACACAGATTAGCTTCAGCTGATTTTGCATATTCTTGGTGTCTTCTTGTTTACATATAGTGATCAATATTACCAACTCCATTGTTTAGTGTAAAGAACTTAATATTACAAACAATACAGAATGTTTTTGTTGGATCATTGTTACATTCTCGTAAAAATATAGAAAATATAGAATTTGGTAACAATTCTTTTATTGAGCTTTGATGTATATCGTTTATATTCACTGCTAATCATGATGAAGTAGCTACGCTCAATTTTGAAACAATTTTTAATGAAACAGAAACAGTATCGTTTACCAACTGTGATTAAGATTGTGTAGCAAAATTACTATCTGGTGAGTCAGATGCCTCATTAATAGCATGTTCTCGCGACGAACACATAGAAAATGCATCGTATGTACTATCCTATCATCTTCTCAAGTAAAACAAGTACTCTCTATACGATTAGTTCATATAATTGACGACTTTAGTTCGAGAAAAACGAAATAAAATCAACGTATTCTCTTATTCGTTACTATAATCATTAGACTCTGAAATAGTTCTCTTTTTTTTTTTACTTATTGATTCAAAATGTCGACAACAACCAAATAGGGAAACACTAAAAATCAGGAGAAAATCTTGAAAATCAGTTCCTGAAGTCAGGAGAAAAGTTCAAAAATCAGCAATCTCCTGGTCAAATGAGATTTGTCAAGCCTGATTCGAGCACTCAGTTGATGATGAAGATAAAAGTAAAGACTTTGTAATTCCGAATTGATATAAAAAAATAAACAATCATCATCTTCTCATAAACGAACACATAGACATCTGAACAATATCGATTTCGTTCAAAAGAAACTAATCTTAATTAAATATTTCATTTCATAGAAATAAAGTATTGAAAGAATAGATACCAAAAACGTAATTATTTCAGAGATATTCATAGATTAGAATATTTATAGATTAGAAATTTAAAATAGTTCATTAATAGCAAACGACAAAAAGATTCATTCTTCTCTGTTGTTTGTTTTGACTATAGTCTATCATGTTATTTTAGAATTATTTTTAATTTTCGTTTTTTTTTCCTATATTATAGATAATCTATCAAGATTTATAATATATTTCTTTTCAGATAAAAATGTCTATAGATAAACTTCCACACCATGTTCTTTATAAATTATGTAAATATTTATCTTTCAATGATATTATAAACTTATCAAAAACATGCAAACAATTATATATTTTAATTAAAAAAGATAATTATTTTTGGATGATATTAATTCAAAATCATTTTGGATCTAAATTGTATCATCGGTATGTTAATGAAATATTTCAAAACAAGAAAAATTCTGATTATGATTTATATCGTACAGAAGAAGATAAACAAAAATTTGAGAAGTCTTTTCGAAGATATGAAGGTTTGCACGTGTGTAATATATGGTTATTGAATGTATTAAATGGTAAAGATAATAGTGACGGTTATATAGCTTATAAAAGTATAATTAAACAAAAAGAGCGTCCACGTACAAATCAATTAAAAATGTCTTTAACAATCGAAGAATTATTTGAATATTATTTCAACACAAATAAATATTTAAATAAAGAAAATATTCTAGAAATATCAATCTATAAATTAATTTCTTTTTATTTAATTCAATCAAAACGTTTATTAGGTGTTGATTTGTTTGCAATATATCAAAGTTGTACACCAAATCATAGAGGCTGTTTTAATATGCAATATTGGAAACATGAATATGATTTAAATTGTTTAATAGGTCGATGTGTCCGCTTATATTCAGTTCGAACATTCTATCTAGGTGGTATAAAAGGTAAATTTAATTCAATATTACCTGGAATCTATGAAATAATATGTCGTATTAAGCTGGATAAGAACAATGAATATTTAACATATTATAATGAATGTTGTAATAAAAATCATAAATTAAAAAAAAGTGTGGAATGTTATTTTTATGCATTAGCCGATCATGGTCTTGATTGTGAATGTGATGGGAAAAAACTGAATTTTGATTGGTTTGAATCAAACTATTTATTACATGGTAATCAATATTGGTTTAATCAAACGATGGGTTATATTAAAATATTCGAACTATCAAATATTTATTTTGGATTTCGAACTGAATCAGATTATGGTTATCGCAATATTTTGTTTGACTATATACAATTAAATATTATTGAATAATATTGTTTGTTTTTCTTACCATGTAAGATGAAATTTTTAAATGTTCGTTCTTTTCATATCTATTTAATATACCATGAATTTATAGAATTTCGAAAGTTTGTTTTTTATCATACAACTATAGAATTTGTTTACTAATTATGAGAAAGATGTTATTGAAATTGATGTAATATGAAATGGATTTTTTAGTAACTATGATTAAGAAAAATCGTCTTATGTAATCTTATAATGGTTACAATATGGAACATGATGAAACTGCTTCTATTTTAAATAAGAATATTTAGTAACATATCTTTGTATTTTGTAAATGACTATATATCGTTTATAGATTCATGTTAAAAATGATGTTGGGATCTCATATAAAACAACAAGAATACAGATGCTCACTTCGTAAACAATAAATCAATAAAATTTCTAGAAAATTCTTTATATTACAGATTGTTCGTTACTCGAACTTGAATAAAAGAATCTATTCAAAGACATTATATTACTTTGTCGTACCTTCTATTGCAAGGTAATGATTTAATTAATGTTTCTTCACTGGCCGAAGAAATATTAATAGAAAGAAAATATATCGATGGAGACCATCATGAATTAATATTGAATAAAAGATCATACTCTATGGAAAAGTAGATCGCTCTCGTCGGATGTTTAGATTATCTAGATTTTGAAAAAACAAAGACCTTTATAGTTTCTATACAACATACAATTATTTTATTTTTTGTTAATATTTTAATAAAGAATCTATTTTATTAAATATTTTTAAAGATATTTAGTCGAAAAATCTCATCAACAATCGTATTGAATCATAAGAAAATTGTTCAGATCAATGATGAAAACAAAAGTAGATAATCCGATCTATCCTTAAGGATATTTATTCTTCTCTTGTCTATAGGATAAGATTAATTAACTAGGGACATATTTGAGTAGATAATGTTGATATATATTTTCTAATGAGATCATCATAATAAAACATGAAGATTGATGATAATATTTTGATAAGATCATATATATTTGAAATAAAATAAATATGAAAATAACAAATGTGATTCGTAATGTTTATTTTATTTCAATTTGTACTAAATAAAATGAAGATTTATAAAAATAAAATTACTTGAATTATTCTATAAGATTTCAAAGAAAAAACATTTAACAATTTAATTAACATAATAAATTTCAAAACTATTTTTCTTGTGTTGAATTTGATTTTTGATTGTATCAATAATTAATTCGAATTATTTTTCTAATTCACTTTTTTTTAATGAAATTATTTCGTTGATTTCTATTGAAAAATTCTAATGTTTCTATTTAGTTGATGATTTTTAATAGATCCTTATTGAAATAATTAACTTGTTTATTGAATATATTTTTTTCTTCTTTCTTGTTTATTCAAATAAAAAAGATGAGTCAAGATTCTCGGATTAATGTTAAAATAAATCTATAAATAACTCACTTCAATTTTTATATTTATTTTTTTTTGGTATTATAATTCAATTTAGGAAAAAAAAGAAAAAAACTAACAAAATGAATTTTTTTTTCCTATTGATTTATTCATTGTCTTTTCTATATTTTATTTTGACAAAATAATATAAATATTGTTATGTATACAAGTATACAATCAAGGAAAAAGAGAGACAAATTCTAAATAAATAAATAGAAATGAATTTATTGCCATTTAGTTAACATAGATCGTGCGGACTAAGAGACGATCAATTATTTATTGATACTAAAGACCGATAGACCAAGTCCAACAAGTGACATTAGCACAGCTTCAATGAATGATAAACATTCTTTGTTCATTGATGAATTTGTTTAAAGCAATACATCGTTTACAATCATATAAGCATAAACAAATTTATCACAATGGAGCAAAGTTTTGAATGTAGATATAATCTTTGTTAATCTACTTGTCGTTATTGGTCTGCTAACAATACAGACACTATAGCATGATCTTTATACGCTGAAAACATGTGAAATGTCTTTAAAGAACAAAGTGTATCAAAAACTTTGTTGTCATAATATGAAGTTGATCCCAAAGGTATCTTACTTCATGTAGTAAAATCTATCGGTGATAATCTATATTGAAGGAATTGATAGGGAAAATCACATGGCAAGGTGTGTTCAGTAAATTCATCTGTAGCATGATTGTAGCTCGTTGACGTTCTAATATGTTCAAAACATATTCTATCGACAAGTGCAATTTCGGAATGTAGATTACAATTCGTACTAACAAGCAATTGAAATTTGATAGTGTGCTCCCCTCCTATATATGATCTATATCATGACCACTCATTATAACAAGAGTTACAGGAGTTTGTGCCACAGCAAAATGATATCTATTTTCTCATTAGATATTAGTCACTGATCCGTTAGGTGCATTATCAAACATCAGAATACTATACGAACCGCTTAAATTCATATTGATAAAATCGACTGAATCGTTGCTGATTTACATCAATATATATGAGATACATCATATTCTCAATTATACACAAGTTTTCTTCGTTCTACATACACGCGATTATGTGTAATTCTTAGGATTATCATTTGTACACAATTAAATTGGTTTTTCTTCAACTGACCAATGTACAAAATCAATAAACTAATGAAAGGTTTTATTGATGTCAAATGGATAATTAATCAATCATGCTGCAATCTTAGCATTCACTTCACCATTAAAAGAATCATCTGAAAAATATTGAGAAAATTTCATTCTTTATCCAAATGAAACACTAAACTGTGAAAACACATGTCATGCAAAACAGTTTGATCGATATTCTATTAAGTTTCGAATTTTTCAATCAAAATTTTCTTTTAGTGAAACTATTCTATAAATATGATTTGAAATAAATCTTTTTGAACTTTCTTCGTAACATGTGACATGCTCAATCTTAATTCATCGATATTTTGATTCTAGAATATTGATTAGTGAATGTGTCAACCCTTCTTTAATGCTTTGTAAATAATCTTATATTAACAATATCCTATTACATCCTTCTTATAGATATAATATATATTCAATGTTTTGTTTTTCTATTTGTGGAACATTTGTTTTTTTTTTGTTATTCAATAAGAAGCTCATATGACTGAACAGACTCTTCTATCATGTTTTTCTCTGAAATGCAAGATATAAAAATAGAATTAGAAATATTAATTTATTGCAGAATAGAATAATAAAAAGAGAACTAATCGGAAATAAAATAGTTGTATGAGCGGTTAGTCTATATGCAAATTTACATTTTGTTTTTATAATATTCATATACATTTGAATAGTGGTTTCAACGTCACGAACTTTTTCTTTTGTTTATTATTAATGGAACTGATAAGACTTGACATGACACCACATAGCTCACTCTACGGACATGAATCGCGCATTACTTAATTTTCATTTATAAGAAAAAATTTTTCTTCTAAACTATGACAAATATATTCGTATATAATTCTTTTTGTGCAAATATTTCATGATTTGAAATACTCCTATGTTAATATTTTGCAAATCTCTAACGTTATTTATCTGTCTATGTATAATGATATATTTGTGTTCTCTGTTAGGAACTGATATGCTATTTGTTTGAGTGATGTCGTCGGTTGTCGCAATCACTTCTTTCATATTATCCTCTACCTTATTTCATCTCTTTAATCTTCTCTCTATTGGTATATTGTTTTCTTTCTGTTCTTCTTATATATATATATACATATATGATATAGTAAAAAGGTATTATTGATATAATAAAGATGTGCACCCGAATATCAGCATGTAAACAGATAAACAAAGGAAAGAGAATGAATGCAATAGATAGATCTAACAGTATTTCATAGCAATATTTTGCTTTGTTTTTTGAAGTTTTCTTTTTTTGTTTCTTCATTTCAAACAAGAACAAAAGTAAGTAAAACGAACATCATTCGAAATTCTCTAATGAACATATTATTTTTGTAATTGATAATGGTTTTTCGTTCAAAAAACGTCTAACTTAATGCTTGACTATCATGCGATAATTGATTTTTGCTACTATGCATTAGATATAAAGGAAATACTAGTCACTTATTTTTTGCTCTAGTTTCGGGTAGGCTGTTTTTTTTTTTGTTGTTCTCCTATCGTTGCGTGCGAATCCTGTTCAAGAACAATCACAATCGATTTTCTTATATAGTTATATTAAAATAGAAAAGGGAAAGAATAGACGAGAAGGAAATACATAGCATTAACATAGAGTAATACCTTTTTTAAAGTATTTGTTGATGAGTGTATCGTAATTTCCTGTTTTTGTACGTGTATTATATAGATAAATAAATTATACTGAAAAATTTAATTGAAATGATTGAATATAAAATCTTTTCTATTGATCATTTCAATGATCAAGATTGTTTTTTTTTAGAAATATTTTATTAATTAGTTAAATTTAACAGTATTGAAGTTGTCATATTAGTTTACATATAATTAATGAATTTCATCATATATTTCAGAGAAAAAAAAACATAATTATTAAATTTCAATGATTAAGAACCTCTTTAGCATGTTTTCATATGTCAGATACTTCCGGTGACACATTTCACATATTATCAAAGTTATTTATATATATGACAAGTACTCTTTGCCATTAGTCTAGATAATAAAGTGCCTTAAGGCATTTTACATTTCTTTTCGATAAGATTTTCAACTACTTTATGTTCATGTTGTCGTTTCAGAATTCTTATGAAATAATTTAATCCTGTAATCCTTTTTTTCCTTCCTGTATTTTTAATAAAATTTCTAACATCTAATTGCTTGTCCAAGAAAGCAAAGAAAAACAGATATGATATAAAAAAACGAACTATGTGAAAATTCTTTTTTATTTATCAGTATATTGTAACAAATTTGTATCTGAAGAAAGAATTATTTTTCAAAATTACTATTTATTTATTTTCTTATTCCAAAAATTGTATTTCTGTTCATAGAACTAGACTTTTTCATATTAAATATTGAGCGAAAAAGAAATTATTCGTTTGTTTTTTTTTCCTACATGGGA